GTTTATGCTTATTCGTAAAATAATGTATTTTATAGTTATTGTACAGGGATTTAAATAAAAAAAAACCTTATTTGAAGAAAAATGTGTTAATATTGTAGAAAATGAAAAGGAAAAAGACCTAGAAACTGATCTGACCTACTGAATTCGAAAATATAAATTTCTTCTTTTTCCTTTTAGTAAATAGCAGCTAAACTGTAAAAACTCCTTGAACAGTTATCGTATGTAACTATAGCTTTTTTTTAATAAAATAACCAACATAGAATAAACTAATCTAGAGCATAATATTATTTTACAGTTGATCAATATTATAATTTTTATTGAATGAATTATTTATCCTAAATATATTATAGCTAGTTTTCTAGAAGTATCATTATAGAACAAGCACCTGTTTTATACAAAAAATCTTGCTAAAGGAAGCCAGAACTTGTAACAGGAAGCAATAGACAAAAACGATAGTAATTTTAATAAATTATAATTTTTATAAGTACCAATCATTGCATAGATTGTTGTTACCAGGAAGGAAACCTTAAATATACATTCTTACCCTGCATTCAAGAGGTTGAAAAAAAAATAGAAATCAAAAAATTTAAAAGTAAACATTTCGTCATGAGATTTTTATAATAGAAAAAACAGATCCGTCGCCTACGTATAATGGATTATCCAGATTGACGATATTTTTAATGTACGAGTACTAATATTAAGTACTAATATTAATATTAAATGTCTTACTAATATTAAGTACTAATACTAATGTTAATATTAAATGTCTTTGCTGAAGCTCACTCGCTACCGCTTTGTATTATGTTCGTCTCATTTCATGAAGATTAAAAATGTCTTTACTTATTAAATAGAATATTGCGCTCAAATATCTCTATTTCGATAGCTAACAGCTTTCTAAAGTCAGCCTCTTGAGGTCTTAGGTTCAATTTAACGATTAACCGAAGCCCATTTTGAGGAATATGTAATTAGTTATCGTGTTGCGAATGTCTTGTAAATATTCATGCGTTTGACACTCAAGTTTCAAGTCGTAAGCAGTTCTTATCGCACATAGTATTAATCAACCGTGTCATCACACACATGTTTACGTGAGAAAAAGCTGATACGTATTTTTTACAAGAACACATTCGCACATTTTTAGATCCTTTAATAAGATTTATTAGTATAAATGTTGATAAATCATAGTCTCAGGCTTTACATTGGTATCTAGAGGTCATAAATATTATCTTCTTTTGCTTCGTGGCAAACTATAATATAAACAATACTCTACTTAGTATATCTTCGAATTAATATGTTCTATATTTTCTTTTAATAAATTACTTATATGCTTATCTGAGTATAATCTATCTTGGTGATAAATACAACACAGTATTCGATTGTGCGTTGGTAATTCTAGGGAGCGTCGGTGGCTCAGAGTCCTGGGTTCGAATCCCGCCATGTACCAATGTGTTTTTCGATTTTCGATTTACATATGTACATTTATTAAGGGCAGGTTGATGATGATGATGATGATGATTTGTTCCGATGTTCTTACGATGAAGGAAAACATCGAAGTCAACCAACCTGCACTCGGCAAGCGTGGTTGATTATGGCCGAGTCCCTAACTTAGTTTAGGCTCCGAGCCCCTCATTGGGGTAGTATAGTGAGCTGATGATGATTCTAGTGTGATGCAGTAGAAAACAATTATCCATAGATCCAAACTTTTACTTTTAAAAGTAGTAAGTTATCGTAGTACGGTATGGTCAATATACGGCCATGGCTACAGTGTCCGTTTAAACTTGTTACATCAAACAATGCATGGAAAGCAGATTCGTTGACGTAAATCCATCGGAAGCGTTAGATGTTATCGTGTTACTGACAATAGAAGTAATTACCGTACAGCCAGAGGAGGTCGGAACCGAGCGAACAATGCTTTAAAGATGGACCGCGCCTGTTTTATATGCACCTTTTGTTTTCGTCTTCAACATTTATAACAATGCTATTTTATGCAGTAATATAACTAAAACCAAATTTCTTAAGGACTTATCGTTAATTTCAGTACTATATAACAAGTTGAAAATTTGCTTTCAAAATACAATCGAATATTCACTGTAATTTGACATGACTTATGCGAATAAAATATTTCATAATCCTAAATTAACAGGTCTTTACGGCAGAAGGTTACGGTTTCGTCTGGTGAGTGTGTGTCCCGGAGGCCTAATTTAGTCCTCTTTCCCTTACCACCCTTTTCTTATAAGGAAAGGATGAGAAGTGGAAATGGACTTTCCGGATGAGAGGATGCATGTAAAGGGAAAATATTTTCTTTCTGTGCATCCTCTTCTCCGTTGATTAAAGGTAGGCAACGCATATGCAATTGCGTATGTCTATGGGCAACGATCACTTCGATATTTCAGCGATTTTAGGTGGCCGCTCGCTCGTTTGCCACCTTGTAAAAAAAAGAAGATACCCTTGTTTATCTTTGATCTTCTTAGCTACTTATATATTAAAACTATAAAACCACATGCAACGTCACCTCCAATGCAATTGTTGTTGCAAAAGTTTGTGTAGGGAAATAAAAAATAAGTTTCATGAATAAATAAAAAAAAACGTTCATATTATAAAAACATTTTATTAGCAAAACTTAAGTAGGAAAGTAAAAAATATAAGAAATTCAATACAAAACTGTAAACGATTTAAAAATTATGGTAGCTAAAGTTCATTAAACGATACGAAACTTACTAAAAGTATCTGATACTGATAAATGTGACCAGATTTAATCTGACAAGCACATTTCACCTCATACTTTTGCTTAACAAGAAAATATAGAAATTATCTCTATAGATTAAAAAAAAACAAGTGATAAATAGAACAAAATCAATATTCTTAAAAAAAAGTACTTTAAAATAAATAATTGTTATTTATAACCGAATTTATATTTTGGATGAATTTGAAAAATTTTAAAATAATTTGACGTAATATCAAAATACATATATCGTAACAACTATAAAAAAAAAACATTTCTAATAGAGTTTAAGTGCATTCGGATATTAATATTCCAGGGTAGAGATTATCAAATCTTGTACATTTTTAGCCTCATTAAAACGGTTTTATCGGTGTAGTTCTTATATAATATCCTATTAAACAAAAGTATCACGTGAAAAAAAAAACATGGGAAGACATTAGAGTTTCGGATGCAGTGCCAACTAAGAAAATACATACGCTTACTATTTCTTAATGGTTTACATTTCGATGTATTCAAATGACACTGCGTCTATAGATAAACGTAAGCAAAATCACAGCTCGGGTTAATCAAAAAAATTACAATAACCTTTTTTGTGTCCTTTTGTAAACTTAACTATAATTCTATAAAATAAATAATGAAAGTATTGTACAGGACGGTTTCAGTTTTAAGGATGAAGTGGACAATTCTATAAAAATTTTTAGCCCTTCACGTATTGAGCAACTGTCGAAACCACATAATAAATAGCAAAATATTTACAAGACCACTTCATTAACAGCAAATGCTGGAGAATTTAACGTCATCCACATCGTCCTTAAATCTAACATTGACATTACGCAATCTTTAAATTACACATATTCGAATTATTTATAATATAATCTTATAAACGAGACATTACAATCAATAAAATCTAATAATCAACTCAGGAACAAATGCAATAATGATCGATCAATATTAATAAATCCGTCTTTTGTTTTCAAATAAGTTCTCAAAAACCAACGTAATATATTACAAGAATATATTAACAAACCATTATTTATACGAGCACGTATTACAATAAGGTAGCCATAGTTTCTTATGTCTAATTGGTAAATCTCTCAAAAAAAGTTTCTTATCTTATAAAATCTATAAATTCGCTAACTTTCAAAATACCATCTAATGAGATACAAGTGGTAGAGTATAAATTTAAGTCACAAAAATTAATTTTTCCTTAAATCTCTCTGTTGTACATATTTACAAATAATGAGTATTGTTAAAGGATATCTCTATTGATCATTTATTACATTTAATAATAGTCATTATATAATATAAACTCGACAAAACACAACATTATAGATTTATTTCAAAACAATTTATACATATAAATATTTACGATTTTATGCCGAAGATCATTTTAATTCGTTGTTTGATATTATAAAATAAAATTAAAAATTTTAATCGCATTAAAATTTTTGTAAAATTATGTAAATATAAATAAAAACTGTTTTTATTGATATTTGTAAATATGGTTTTGAACAAATCTTAAATATAATTCGACATCCATTTTAATTATCAGCAACATACTTTACATATAAAATCTCTCACTCAGACTGTAATATTACTTATAAGGCAGTGTTTGATAACTTTTAATATACTTACAATGTTATTAAAAAGTTTGGCAAGAAAGGAGTTATTATCGAAATGCAAAAAGTTTTCATAAACCAATAAAGTGCACAGATAACATGAAATTGACGTACTCACATAATTTTACCCACAGAGCCTTTATTAAAATTATTTTGTGTTTAATACAAAAGAGGAAATTTTGTAAATTGTATTAAACTTATAAATATTTTTTAGTATTCTTTTTGTTTTTATAAGTATAGAAGCGATGTTATTTGACTAAACTTCTTAGCAAGAATCACGTGTGTTGGCGCCGCGAAATTCAATGATTGATAATTATTACAATTTAAGCATCCGTCCCTAATTTAATGTAATGATAAATTATGATGCCGTTATGACATCCGATACATAAAAAGAAATCGCCTAAGTGTATAGGTCTTGTTTTTGCGGAAGCTAGATAGATAACCTATAATATTAGATATAAGCAAAAAGGAAGTAATTTTGTCTTTCTCAAAGGAAAACAGGTCTGTTGTCTTAATCATTTTATAATCTTATTAATTAATTTACTTATATATTGCAAGGTAAGAGAAACGATAATTGAATGAAATTAATATATATGACAATCCGTTAATTTTTCGTATATCAAATTAAACTTTTGCTATTCAGAATATTTTCGACAGATTCGTAAGGTGTGGACCTTCCACATCTTATAGCAAGTGAAAGTTATTCGTAATTTTACAGACCAAAACGCAGTTCCCACACAATAATAAAAAAAATGAAAGCAACATAGATTTGATTACAAGTAATTAAAGAAAATTTAATTTGATACAGTTGGATATATTTTCTATCTTATAAATCAATATAGTTTTAAAACAATAAGTTCCTTAATAGTAATGGAGGTGAAATTTAATGATGATGTTGTACGGATAAAACAAAGAAAGGCCAATTGGATGAGAAAGGGAGTACAAAATTAAACACTACAGTTCTACCACGTCTATTACAAATTTATAGCGTTCTGGTAATAACAACGCCTCTCCTATACGATCAAATTGTTATATCAGAAGTAACTTACCCTTCACTGGACTAGTCAGTTTTAGAAAAGCCCATTCTAACTATCACATCTAGATTTAATAGTTCATTGTATCTTTTCTAAGAAGTTAAACAATGATTATGATATAATCAATTTTATTTAAATGTCTATTAGTCGGTTTTTATACAATTCAAAATAAGAACAATGTTTTCTAAAACTTTTTAAGATTTAATGAAATTGTGATTGTTAAATGAGGAATAAAATGTCTATCATTAGATTTTACATTCACAGTACTGTGTAGGCAAATCATAAAAAACGAACGCGGTAAATTGACCTAAGAGGAATGTTATGTATAGATACGATAGTCGAGCGGTGAAAGATGGTGGGTACTGAATGCTCGTTCTTTTGCTCTGTTTTTTTTTTATATTTCATTTTTTAGAAAGTTTAGTCGGTCGCTCTGCGGGAGAAATTACGGCGCCGGCGGACTCGTAGATAATCCTAAAGCTGCACATCATTATTGGCAACTAATCTGATAACTTTTTACACTATAAATAGTAAAAACTATTTTAAGAATTGAGTCTTTCTTGCGGTTTATTAAAGTAAAAAGCTCTGAGTATTATTGATTCATTATAAAGATCATTGAAAAATAGTCGACAGCTGATCGTAAAAAATAACAAATTACATTATATTTCTTAAAACGTACACATGACTAATAATAATGGAACGGAGAGTCGAAAAAATCTCATTATAAATTTCACTTAACTGTATTTGTTCTTAGCTAAAACTAGCTAAACTTAAAAGTATTTCGGTAACGGACGGAATTACGTACAAATTAACAAATATCATAACGGCCTCGAGTATCCGACGAATGTTTCACCATACGCAACTGCCTTATTTATCTATAACTACTAGTTTATTTAGCACCTTACCAACTCTTCTGTGATATGTCAGCCTTTACGTATTTATTTAGTAAATCACTCTCACTGTACCAAAGTTCCTTTGACTATCTTTGCATACCGACGAAAGTTTAGCGATGGTGCTACGGTTACCTTTGCTTTGTAGGTTTGGCCGTGCCATTGGCGGCAGCGCTCTTCTGGGCGATATGCGTTTGATAATGCTTTGCCAGGTGCGCCTTTTGTCGGAAACTTTTACCGCAAAGTGAGCAAGAGAAAGGCTTTTCTCCCGTATGCGTTCGAACGTGTACATTCACGGAGTATTTATCCTTAAAACCTTTCGAACAGATCGAACAATAATGAAGAGATCTTTCTTTTCTTACTCCGTTCGACGTAGATGTAGCCGCTTGTATCGCAGTCCCTGATGGTGATTGCGTTGACGGCGGTGGATTCTTGTTTTGAATCCGCTTATATTTCTTGCTCACAGACTTGGTGCTGGTCACCGCGGGTGACGTGGTCACAATTTGTAAATGCTGGGGTATTTGTACTTCACTCGCGGGAATCATTGTTACTAATTCACCGTTTACATGATGAATATTGTAAACACTCCGGGTTGGGTCGATGGGCTCGACAGTGCAAAATGGTTGCACGGACTCGCCCAACTCTGTAGCTATTCGTTTTAGCTTCTCGTAGTCATCCGGATAATTAGCATCTAATTGTGAGAGTAAAATATCGTCGACGCTTTGAGTCGAAGTTGGATTTTCACCGTTTGCAATGACAGTCGCAGTAGGATCTTCTAATAGTATTGAAATATTTACGTTTCCACTTTGTGGTGCAATGGCCATCAATAGTTCTGTTTCACTATCTTTATTATCCGGGTACATTGATGGAACGTCGGCTTTATTATTGTTATTTATGATAACCCTTTTCAACTCCGTCTCTGCATCTATTTTCGACATATTACTCTTTTGTATCGTGCTATATCTAATAAAAGCTTTCCCTTGGAGAGCGCTTCTCAGTAAAGACTCATTAGATTCCGTGTTTTGATCTGTTAACTTCCAGTCGTTGTTGTTGTTGTTAAATTCTGCTTGACTATCTAATAGGGTCGGAGTCCCTACAATAGAACTACATGAATCATCTTTCTTATCGTTACTCTGAAAGTCATTTTCATCGTAATTGAAGGGTTCCACTTTAACCAAGCTACTTGTGCTCATGTCCGCACTTTGATTTTCTGATTCCGTTTCTTCATAATTAAAGTTTTCAACTTTTGGCAGTATGTTAGTAGTTAATGAATCCTGACTAAAGTCGTTAGGGAAACCATTCATATTTAATATCGACTCAAGATCTAGAGAGGATTGTTGTTCTATGTCAGTGGGGCTCGACATCGAGACATCTTCTTCCTTCGCCCAGTATCTGTTAGGATTCGGTTCACCCATATCTTGGTTTAGAACGGTCAGAGTATAAATTTGACCGTCCGTGTTGTTACTAATTAGTTTGTTGGAGATGGCGGTGTCGGTGCAAGGATGTGCACCGTTTATATCACTATCCTGATTCCAGTAAAATTTGTTGAGGTCTTCCAACATCGCAGTTTCTAAACGATCCCGGTCTCGATCTACGTTCCAAATAGAATCAAAGCTTTGTAACGTATTCGATGTGGTCGCTGAGGTCATGCTGTTACTAACAGTAGATTGTCCTCCCGCCACGCTCAATAAGCTATTGTTATTTTGTTCCTTCGGTTCTTCCGACAACAAAGGGTTCGACCTTGAGTCCGGCGATTCCATGAACACATTAACAGACCGCATCTGTTGTTTGTACTGGGCATCAGTAACGTCATTCGATGTCACGAAATCAAAGAAATCTGACTTGGACAGTTCAGGTGCAGTGGCCGTCATGACTACAGTTTATTGTTTTAACCGAGAACAACGACCCGGTACGTTCTTCAACATCGGCTAAGTCGCCGTATTCCTTTTCTGATTAAGGTTTGTACTAAAGTAAGTAAATCTAAATTTAAATATGTAAATGAATAATGTATAACCCGATTATGACTTGTACTTTATTGGCAGTCGCTAGAGCGTCGGTAACTGATAATGCGTAAGTAGGGGCGTGGGTTGGGGTGCTAGTCGGATCTATCCAACTTGCTCAAATCAATAGGCGGACCAATGGAATGTGCAAACTTGATCCGGACGTGTCTTTTTCCCATTATTCACCCCAACCCCGTACTGTGGGCGACAAGAACTTAGCACGGCAGGCTCTTGGCGGCGGTGTTACAGAGCTCTTGTTGTTCCATGATCTTGATCACAAGTCGTTAAAACTCGACGACAGATTAATCTGAAAACAAAGAAAATCAACAATTAATTTTCGAATCAAAGAAAATTTTACCCCAATGTTTTAAATCAATTTTGTTTTAATAATTGCAAATAACATTTTCTAATAGTGGTATTTTATCTTAGCGATTATTTAATTGAATCCGCCTGTACATGGTATTCGAATGTTTAATTAATAAACTACTGGTTCGTGTTCGGGGCCTGTGTTAAATAGGCCGAACTAGTCACGTACTGGTCGAGCGAACATCTCGTGACGTTCGCATTTAAACTAAACACTCAACAGTGAAAACTAATCACAAATACTAGTAAAGTCATATTTGAATTATCAAGTAATTATAGTCTGTTATTATAATAGTGAAGCTTTACCTAATTAAGTAGTTACATTATTAAGGTCTGTGAGTATTTAAATAATTCTTAAATTTAAAGAGATTCTGTTATATTTAAATTAAAATTTCATAAATTTATCGCATATCACATAAATAAGTTGGAGAACGTTATTTAGTTCTTTAGTTTTATGTCAAAGATTTATCAAAGTTTATTTGACGTTATTCCGAAGTATTATTAATTAATGGCAATTCAAGTAGAACATCGTTTCTCAGTAATTTCAATCAATGCAAGTATACATTTAAGAGTATGATAAAACTTTCAGCTTCACATAAGTATTAAGATTATTAGAACATTTTAAGTTAGATATCAGGTGTAATATTTAATATATCGTTCTTCCATGACTGATTCAGTTCACGTAAAATGAGAAAGGTCTGTCAAATGACACGCTGAATTGGAGCAAACGCGAGGGAGCGCAACACCCGCTCTCATGTTACATCTGTCAGCTGATACAATCACAACTTGTTGAAATTTGACGAAATATTGACGATATAAATATAATCTGTATATGTACAGTCAGCTGCATAACTATATGTATATACATTTAAAAAGCTCCAAAAACTTATAAATGCTTTCGGTTTCAAAAATATATATGCATATATCCGTCTCTATGCTTCCAATTAAGAATACATGCTCATGACTAATACGTGCATACTTATATTTGAATACGAAAGCGTATATAGTTTTTTGAACTTTAGCAAATGTTTATTTATTTATGAAGTTGACTGTACATTCGTCTAGAGCCGCCGGAGACGATACTCACGAGGCGTGAATACCCGGTTATTTTACAACCTTGTACCACTACAATACAATTGGTTTTAGTCGTATGCACAATAGTATTTGATTTATCTTTTTAGTCTGTATCAATTTCCTGAACTAGCGAGATGGATTACGAATTACGTGGATTTTCATTTATAAAGTAACAATATGATATTTCAATACAAAATATAAACAAATCTATTAATTAATAATCTTTAATATATTTAGGTCGTACTTTATTTATTAATAAATTAATCTATTTAAGTACCCTCACGTTTTAATTAGCGAACAACACTGTAACAGCGTAGCAATGATCCATAAAATTCAAAATTCAATCGGTGCTCAACGTCTTAGTTGCTTCACATGCATGCACATATATTTATATGTAAATTGTCGGTAAAGTTTTATTACTGCATCGCCTGCAGTGACGGCAGTTAAGCTGGATTCATTACCACCATTTGGTAGTAACCAACTTGACATTTTTCAATACATCTCATATCTAATACATCCTCTAATTTGTTAAACATAGAAATCGTCATAGTATCAAATACATTTTAAAGAATAAAATTTAGGATAGCCTGTTATAAACTATATTTATAAACACAATGAATTTGTCAAAAGTGTAATGGAGTTGACTTTTAAAGCGAAAAATATATTTATCGTCTAAAAAACCATACGTCTTCCTCAAGTAGCGTTTTCGGAATCTTTGCTACCAGGACTAGCCTAACGGGATGCTTTCGTACGCTTTATCGATCTACACGTGACTGATATTCCAAAAAAAATTAAGACTTATAGCTAACGTGACTAATGATAGGAAGAATTTTTAAATCTCTATATGTATGTGAATACCGCTTTAGGTTTTCTTTTGCTATGAATAGGTAGGGATTTGATTTTGATGAGTTCGGCTGAGCTATCGGCGGCTGCGAGGTGGTGCATGTGGGTTAACGAGCGGGTTGCGCCACGCCGCGCCCGCGCCCCGCCGCCTGCTCCGCGATCGCCCGCCGCTGGCCGACACAATGGCCGGCGCGGATCACGACGCCACGCATTCCTCGCCTCACGACTTCGGGTTTTACTCGGACATTTACTATTTAATCTTCAGATAAGATTGAGAACACTGCTGTAGTTTCTAATTGATAATATTTTACAAATATAAACGGTTAATAGATGAAAACCATCGCTTAGAAACTAGAAAGTTATAACTGTATTCATTTAGAAAAAATGCTAAGAAATGTTTTAAGCATGCTTACCCACGAGAATCTTTCACTGAACGGTATAAACCAATCATTAAGATTTGAAACCTACGTGTTCAATTAACATATAATTCAGTATAGCTGCTTAAACTAAATTATTACACAAACATTGTATACATTTTTAATGTAGTTACAATGATATTACCATTAAGCACCTGTCGATAGACTATCAGTTACAATAGTTTTCAATACAATCAATGACAATACTATGCTTTAATTGGCACTCGTTCTGTGGTAGAACACAGACAGCGCCGAAAGCGCCGACTGCGCAGGTGCACTGTGACTGCGACGATTGCCAACACAGTTTCAGGTGTCACTTTGATTTAAGATACTAGATTCAGCGCATCTATGCTTAATCTTGAAAGTATACACCTTCGAGATTAAGAAAATGGCGTTGTTGTAGATATCTCTTCGATACTTATTCAAAATTAATGTGAATCATTATTTTAAAGTCTAATCAATTTAAGTGCAAAAGATAAAAATAATAAAAGTTTAAAGATTGGGTTTTTTTTCTGCGGTCAATTCTTTGTTTGCTAGTGGAATAAAACAGTTCGCGGTGATGATGTGGATATAAAATGCAAAGGAAAGACGGAAACAGTTGTAATTGCCTTTTATCGTAAATGATGAATGTTGGCCGAACGAAAATGGTGCTATAACGCATACCAGAGCGACACAACGTCACCGGTCGCGTCGTATCGAGTCGAAACCACCTTTGGCATTTCGCTAAAGATGACCATTTGCCTCGCTCAGCCTTTGATCTCTCTTATAAATGCCTGTTGCAATTTTATGTTAAAATATTACTGGGTACCCACGTAATAATTTACCATAAAATTGTTTAACATTACCATTAGATTGTAATAAAAGTGAAATTATTATATCCAATTTACTTGAAGCATCGGTGAGTTCGGTTTTAACAGCTACACTGCATATTAATTTTGCAACTAATCGTTTACTTTGAACAGCGTGTTTAAATAAACATGAAAGTACAGTTTATCTGTAATGCTAAAACAAAACACAATTGTCAGTATAGAGCTATTAAATCTACAGAGTTCAGATAAATATGCTAAATTGGACTATCGTCGTGACTTGTCCGCTGACACAAGGTTGAGCTAAAGAATTTATAACAGGAATATGTAACGTAACAGATACAATAAGCCCATCCTTAAAACCTAATATTATCAGTAAAAATTTTATTTTTTATCAATCGTTTAAAATACGAAACTTAAAAGCATTATATACGAAGAATTACGAAGATATTTATGCAATAAGTTCTTCCATTTTACGATGCTGTGTAAATTAATTTACTGACCTAGTAAAGACATGCCGCTGGTAGCGAATTGATTATACCGTGCATAGATATAGGTGGATTGCGGCGTGAATTATAAGCGTCGAAGCACCGGCGATACTACGAAAAGATGCACAATCTATTCGCATTAATAGTTCAGATTGCTTACGCTCTGCGCCTGCGCATACCCCGCGCGTAGCTCGCACCGCGCCGGCCAGACTGCGTCGTATTCTAACTTAAAATATACTGACCAGATTTACCCGCGGTACTTGCATGCTCGAGTTTCCCACGCAGATAACTGGTAGCTTGTCGCTACAGTATATTTAAGCGCTGCGCCACGCTGTTAAACATTTAATGTAGGTTACTAAACGTTTCGTTATAAATGTTACTTGCATTCCGTACACCAGTTGTTTCGTGATGTCTAAAACAATATCTCGAACGAATATCTCTTTCAAGTTTCGAATTGATAATATTAATATATGGTTTAAAAAATCTACAGTTTACTAGACAAACTTAATATCTATTTCATTACTTTACTAGCATAAACGCTTGTATTGGGTAACTTTGTTTATTTTATATGTATTATCTATACCCGGATGAGAAATTATATGAGTAAAATACATTTTAAGCATATTATGATATTGAATAATGTTTGAACACTTATTTACGGCCAATTGCATGAACACATGTATTGGCAAGGCATTAATGAACCTGGGAACAGCATTTGAATAATGAATGATCTTTGTACATGAGAATAAACTAGCGGTGTCAATTATTAAAAATAATTACTCGGTGTCGTTGGTCAACGATTCACGATTCTACAAGCTTTAACCCATGTAAGTTAATGTGCAACATTATTTAGGGTGCGCGTTGATGTCTTTTACTTGAAAATTTCTTTAAACAATATCCATACGTAATTAGTTCGCTATAACCGGGACATAACATTTATTAATAAATCTTAAAATTAAAATAATAAATATTTGTAGTAATATTCGATGATATCGAGGTAAAATATTAAAAATTCACCGAGATGAAATGCAATATTAATCGTCTATGATGACGTCATGATTCTAGCCATAAAAATGTGATAAAAGTAGTAAAATAACTTAACATATAACATAACTTATTATAAACTTGCCATTTATTTTGTATAGTTTACCTTTTTTGTAAACTAGTCAAAATAAATGGCTAGTTTGACCATTATTTGACATTGTTTGAAACACTAAAAATACAGAATATTATATTAGAAATTCGCGTATCTCTATAAAATCCTGCGATCAAATGCGATTCATTGTATAAGTTATTTTTTATTATCATTTAAGATAT